AGAGTCAAGGCATAATACGTTACTTGTGAGAGGGGACAGGGGCTGATTGCATAGTAAGGTCATTTGAAAGACAGGAACTGATCTCCCAGCACCTAAGTCCTCATATGCAGTTGGCATTCCTCCCACACTGCTCAGAACCCCCTTAGTTCTTCACTTTAATTATATCAAAGTTGTATAAATGGAAAACCTTTGAAAGTGTTTAATAAGTCTAAAAAGATGGACCAGCGGGTATTCCAGCAGCTCTTTTCTAAACACAAACTTTTGCTTTGACCTTGCATTAGAGGAAGAGCAACTGGTACTGCCAAATCAACAACCTCCTCTTTGCTTATGCTTCATTTCTAACCATGGCCAGAAGTGGTCTGACCTCAGTTCTCAGGTCTTTTGACCCAACACATTGAATGGCTTCTAATTTTTTTTCTAGACAGCCCCCAAAAGCATTGAATTGGTACTTTACTGATGGAAATGTAGAAGGTAGCAGATAATTGAGTTTGATCTGGTCACAGATGGAATTATAGCTGGAGGCTACCTGTGAATGACTTTTAGCATAAAAATATAATTCTCAAGAACTCAGCAGCTTCTAACTGGTAATAACTTGAAATTCATGTGAAAACTTGTTCCAGAACACTCAACATTTCCTTCAAACACTCAATTTACAGTTTCAAAAGAATATTCCTTGTGCACACTTATTTCTGCTTTTTGAGCTCCAAATATTTTAGTAAACAATCACCTGCAAGAAACTCCATAGAAAAAAACTGATAGCTGGAATAATTTCTGGAAAATGAACTTTACATTCAATACTAGAAGAAAAGTTATCAACGCTCTATGTCCAGCCCCCAGCTGGAAACTTAGAACTCTTAGGCTGGGGCCACAAAAGCCTGGATTCAGGGACAGTCATTAGGTGGAGTCTGGATGTGTTAAAGGGACGGTGCCATTGCTGCAATGGAAGGTAGCAGGGTGTTCCCCCTGGGCAGATACAGGCTCTGTATCAGGTACAGGCTCACTAGCTGGAACCAGATATACCCTTTGGACACTCTTCCCTGTAACACCCACGTAAGACAAGTTCGTTTTCAGTTCAGTGCCCAAAGGCAACAGTCAGGCTAAAATCCGAGTTTCCCTCCTCCTACACAACACATCTTGATGTTGCTTACACTGCAATCTGCTTCAGGCTTCCAGCTTGTATATACATCATGGGCTCTGCCTGGCTCTGCTGATCACAACAGTGATATCTAATTCAAACAATGAGAGCTTTTTCCCTTTAACTTGTGTGAATTTCCTTTGATGCTTAAATAACTGAAAAACCGCAAAAGCAAATGAGGCTCTCATCTGAATTACTCAGGAGAGCACAGTAAGCTATTCTAAGCTGTCAGATACAGTTGTAATTAGGTGCTTTTAGAAGTATATTATCTATTTTTATCTGTTATTTATTGTGCATACTCTATTTATTGTGCTGAACTCATTATGTCCCTGACAGACTACTGCAGATTTCTCAGGTCTTTAATTGTCTGGGTGCTCCTGCTACACCCATTTTCGAGACTCTGAGACAAACCAACTGAATTCTGACATTTATTTATCTTCTTAAAGCAAATCTTTTTGTCTGGTAAATATGTAGGGCTCCTAAAGAGATGTTACACCATGTCATACTAATCCTGCTTAGTTTGTGGATTACTGACCAAACGCACAGTGACAGCCCTTTCGGAGCCACCATCTCCCACAGCTGCAATCTGCCGAGGTGCACAACCTCTGCACACCAAACCCACCTTGTCCTCCCCACCAGGACCCCAAGAATGAGCTGTGTCTGTGCAAAGACACCCTCAACTCTTACCAGCTGCTGGGAGAGCTGGAAAACTCGTTTCTTGTAGAAGGATGTATTTCACTGTGGGAGAGCAACACCCTCTGCCTAAAGGCAAACCCATGAGGTTTTCAGAAGAACTTCAAGCCAGCTGTTTCTTGGGGCAATGCAGATGCACCTCAGAAGTAGGGGTTTGCCTCTGCCTGGACTGTACAGAGTCATCCTCAATGCTGTGTTACCCCAAGAACTGACAGGTAGAGCCCCAAGTTCACTCCCTATCTCCAGTTTCCTGTCTCTCATGCCCACTCACCCCTGCTCTAACAAAAAAGAAATAGCAGAACAAGGCAATAACTCTTCTCCCTTCCCAAATACCTAGAAAATGAACATGAGTCAAAGCTCCAGCTGCCTGCCAGCAGGAATGCAAACACATCAGAGCTTCCTGGTAGATACCAAGAAGCAACTCCACAGCCTGTTTAATTAATCATCCCTTCCACTCCTTGCAATATCCTCCAGTTCAGCCCATGTCCTCAGCTACCCTGACCATGGGTGGGGTCTGAACTCACCTCTTACCATTAATTGCCTGAGCACCCCACAGCATTTTCAGGCTGCACTGCCCAGGTCGTGTTAATTGACCCCAATCTCTCATCAGAGGCACTGAGGAAGGGAAACCCTCCCACCATGTCAGCTGGTGTCTCCCTTCTTCTAGGATACTTGTATGTCTCATGCCAAGGAAAAGCCTCCCCTTCAGCTTTTCTGTATGCCTAATTTAACACTGGAAATGAAAAGAACTTTTATAGGTCTACATCAAAGTTCAGGACAGGAAGGAAACTGGAGACCCTTGGAACTCATTATAATATGGCAAGGATTAACGACCTTTAGTTCTATACATTCTACACAAACACTACTTATTCCATAAGAAACAATACTTATTCCATAAAAACACTACTAGTTTTGCTTATAGAAATTCAGAATTAGATTCATAACAGTAAGTTCATATCCCTGACAGCACCAGGCAGCCTTCTTCGGCTTGAACCACCCTGCCAGGAGCTCCTGACCTACACCTGGCTTCTAAAGAGCAAAGGCCTCCACTGTATCTGCTCCTCTCTGAGCTAGGAGTCTGCCAAAGTGCTACTTTCCAAAAGAAAACCAGGTTTGCTGAGCTGACCACAGGAGCAAAAAGCAGAGCAGCCCCAGGAAGGTGATTTTATAGCCCCCGTCAGCTGTCCTGGCACAATCTCACTGTGAGAAAAAGCTGCACCTCCAGGAAAACCACAGCCAGGCATTGAGACTAAAGCAAGGATAGTACCACCCATCTCACCTTTTTATAATCCTGTGTTTTGGAGGTTTTTTTGGCTAATGGGGGGAGAGTGCTGCAGTGCCAGTGCTGTATTGCAGATGATATCCATGTCATCACCGGTCGATCCTCTAAAGTGGAAAAAAAAGCCATGGGATAATACAGAAATTTTCCAAGTTCATGGACAGCTGTACAATTTGAGATACTCTGTTGTCTTTGTATGCTACGTGTGTGAGAGACGTAGGAATTTGAAATGGGCCATAAAATATAAAAGACATGGGGTTTTTTTAGTGATAATATATCAACCTGAGAAGTGAGTGAGCCCATATCGCAGCTCTTTGTCTCATTCATAATTTTAATATGCTGAAAGGCCCACATTTTAGTCTATCCGGCTACAAGCTTTTAAAGTATATGTTTATGAATCCCTGAGAAGAAAGACATCAAAAGAAACAAATGGCAGCTTTGAATTATAGTGGTGATGAATATTGTCATAATAAATTCTCTCCTCACCCAAAGGAGTAATAAGGGATTCCTGCTGTACCACACCATGTTTTCACAAGTCAAATAAAGCCACGTGTTCAATTTATAGCTTGCTTTGGGGCTGAAAGTCTCCACACATCTTCTGTGAATGCAGCTGAACATGATTCAAAACTATTTGGTTAAGAATATAAGAATACCATGTTTCTAGCTAATTTAGGCTGAGATTTTCTAGGTTGTGCACGGGCTTTTGCTACCCAAGTCAGAGGCATTGATGTGTCTAAATCCTCTGGGCAGCATGTCAAGCCATAATCTTTTAGAGGTGTTGCTCTACAGCTTGTTTCTACAGCTATAATTGCAGGAGGAAGGGATGCTGAAATGACAGTCAAAACAATGCTTTCATATGAAAGATTAGCCATTTCAACACCATGGTCCTTATCAGAGTTGCAATGTATATTAATCACCAATTCCCCACTTCTGCTCCATTTGCTGTTGCTACAAAAGGGGATGACAATTTAAACAACCACTTCTGGGACACTTGGCTGGTGCACACAGCTTTGCTCTGAACAAGATGAATGAATCCATTTAGACACAATGGCTACACATTTTGCCATATCTTTATTGCACTTTTACCACGTTGCAAACAATTCCACAAAAATGCTGCAAAAGTAAGCCTAGAGCTGCTGAAAGCAGCCTTTTACCCATATATGTATATATTTACACAAAACTATCAAAAGCAAAATTGAAAAGTAGCAGCTCAGCTATGATAGTCTAGAAAGATAAGAGCTGCCACCTCCTTATGGACAAATAGTACAACTTGTCATTTTACATCACTTTGTAAAACCAACATTCAAGTATTCCTGTCAATGCACAATTAGTGAAATTCCCTTCTGGTAACCACTGTATTTATTATTATTATTATTATAATTATTATTATTTTTTGCCTTTAAAGGTTCTTAATGCCTTAACCCTTTAAATGCTGAGTAGCTGGGGGGAAAAAAGCATTCAATTTAAATAAGATACAGTGGATTAGAGCACTTAAAGGGTTAACACAAAATACTAAGTGGACTGTCACCACAAATAAAGTGTGAGTCACAAAACTATGCCATCCCTCTTAGTTAAATTTGGTAGGTAGGTCTGGGGTTTCATAGATATACCATATATAAATACAAAATATTAAGTAAAGGCCTCCTTTCTATACAAAAAAGGACAGGAGGTGTTTTGCTATCAGACTGTTGTCTGTCAGCGATCTGAGTATTTTCTGAATCTTTTCATAATCTCTCCTCAGGAACTAATGAAAAGCATCACATTAGACTTATTTTTTCTTAATGAACTAATCCTTTGCAGAGTCTACACTTTACCTACTTTGGGAACAATTATATCTCATTTCTGAATTCACTGAATTCACAAAGTGGCATACACAGTCTTTTGCAAGACTTATTTTTATTTTCTTTTTCTTTTTTTTCCTCTTTGAATCTTCTTTACTTGGCTGGTAAAAACGTAGTCTTGCGATTTCACTACCTCTCGGTCGTAACAGTGTTAACATCAGTGTTAAAGTCATTTTCAACCACATTGTCATAACCATCCTTTTCTATACAGTCACTAACAGCCTTGAGGACAATCCGTAGCCGCCTGTCCATCGCCTCCAAGTGAGGCTGGTAGAGAATCGGAGCTATTTTATCTTTTAGCAAAGATTCTTTCATCAAGAGACTGAGTTTGTATTCCTCCTTGGCTAACAGCTGTAATCGCAGATAGGTAGACTTCCTTATTCTAGGAGAAAAAGGAGAGGAAAAAATGCAAATCAGTATTTTCATCACCGTTGGTCTTGACAGGGCTAAAAGGCTTACAGTCAGCATTGCATTAATAGTGTAAAAAGCATATTATGTGATCTGAAATTATGAGAACCAGGCACTGTCACAGTCCTAATGAGCAGCTGGCATTGTCACCTGGCCAGTGATCCCCAGGGGCCTTTAGAGGTGGAGAGGTTTTGGAGCACAGCTCGATGTTGAAGTGCAGGCAGCCCTCGTGTTCCTCAGCTGGGAAAGGCACCAACTGGAGCTGGTGCAGCATTCACAGGGTCATGTCCACCTTGGCAATGACACACATGGCACTGAGCAGGGGGATGGGTGACAGCAGTGAAGGCTCCTCAGGCTCACACTGCAGGGATCTCAAGAGCCCCCCCTCCCCCGAGTTTCACCCTGCATCTCAGCTGTGCAAAGCTGAAACTCAAAATATCACCTGCCCTCTCTGAAAACCCTGGCCATGGGCACCAAGGAAAGCTGTGGTGAAGCACCTGAACCAGCTGGGATAAGTTTTGCCACTTGACTTTCGTGGGTATTTTGTCTTCAAGCCTCTCTTCTGACAGCTCATAGCCACACTCCTGCAAGGTCCTGATCTCAACAGAGCATTTAATGTGTCAATGCCGACACTCAGGGATAGCTAAAGTCAGGCTCCATGGGTAGGATCACACCACGTCCTCATCTCCATTAATAGAATCACCTGAACATTTTCAGTCCTGTTAGTGGAAACAACTGTATAAACCAGGAAACAACTCCAGAGGTGAAACATACCTGCAGCACTGGTTTAAAGGCACCAATATGGAAAGTTCATCATGGGAATATTTTCCAAACCTATTTAAAGATAAGAGCAAGAACGTGACAAAGGCTGTTTTAAAGACTCACTTTTTTCTTTTTTTTTCCCCCCCCGAAAGATTATTAAAAGATATTTACCCTCTTCCATTATCTAAGTGGATAATAAACGTTTCATTTCCAAACTTCTCAAAGGTTTCATAGTGATGTCGATCCATGTTACCTATGGAACAAAGAGGAAAAAAGGTCATTCTCACTCTGGTTTGCTGCTGAGCCTGCAGGTCAGGGCAATGCAAAGGCCCCAGTTCAACAAGAAGCCCAGTGCTCCTCACACATGATGGCTGTGAAGGGCAGGGAAAGGAACGGATTTACTGAGCTCATTTGCTTCTACCATGGATACCCCAAAGTGTGTGATGCTGGAAGATGGTGGAAATGAGCCCTGCTGCTCCAGCCTGGGGTCAGCACGGTGTGTGAAGCAGCCACGGCACATGTGACATGTGAGGCTTGGCTTAGGGAGAGGCAAATGCCTCAAGCAGGGCTGTTAATCCACAGGACTTTGTTAATATTGCATTAAACTTTTTGAACCCCGACCAAACATCATGGTTTTCCTCTATTAAGAACTTTGTCCAAATTTCTGACTGCCTGGAAGGCCAAAACAGTATCATGGCTCTAACACAGGGATCAGGATGGTTCTGCAGTGGTACAGCTGCACAGCCCCTTTGGGCACCAAGGGAGGCAGCCGTGGGACCTGCTCTTTAAGGTCCATGTGCAGAGTATTGGTGCCAAGCTATAAGTTTTATCTTCATGGCAGGAGTCTGGAGCTACTTATATATGCCACATATGGCTCCTGAGCTGTGACTTGGCCTCTCCTACTGCAGCCTATTGCAGAAATCTCAGTGGGGGCGATGGCAGAGGATATGTCCACGCTGGCATGTGCCTAGAGATCAAGTGTGTAGGTTGGCAACTTACAGGTGTATGAGCTACAGCAGAACAGATTTCATATGAGAATGTCTCAGTGTCAACCAATGACTGGGCTAGGAATGTGTCACTATTATCCAGTTTTTAATAATTATTTTATTCTGATTTTGTTGCATAAGCAGATAAAACCTTCCTGATAGATACCACAACTTCCTTTGTGGCAAAGCAATGCCTCTTCCCCCCCTTCTCCCCGACATTTTATAGAGCAAGGAGCAGAGAACACCACTGCAGGATGAAAACAAAGCACCAGTAATGAGCAGTCCTTGCATGTGCCTCCAGGAGCCATACATTACAGTGGTAAAGCACTCACTAAAGCAAACTGTGAAGCCCTTCACTGTTGTGAAGGAGACTGGCCTGACCTGCATTCATCATCACTCTGCATTTCTGAACATCTTTGTTCCTTTAATCTGCACTGATGGGAATACATAACCATGTAAATCTGCATTTTCTCATAATCATCTAGGACGGCACATACAGTAAATGCAGCTTCAGCCACGCTTTAGCAAACTGCTGAGCTATGCAAGCAGTGTAGAAAGAAATGGTTCTTATTCTAATTAAATGTTGCATTTAATTTTTGAAAGAGATGAAACATACCCATTAGGAAATCAAAAACTGTCATATCCATTATATCCAGAATTCTGGTCCCACTGTCATACGGGGGTGTTTGTTTAACCTCTTCACAATAATCTGGATCAACTTCCCATCTGGAAAAGGCAATATTTTGATATTTTATGTGACATACAAAGCTTACTGAAAATTACAAAAAAAAAAAGTTATTTTTCAAAGATCTAGTTGTGTCATGTTGGACTGAGGGCAGGGTCAGGTAGAGGCAGCAAATTCCTCAGGCTGCTTCCAGCAATGCAGGCAACCGAGAAAGATTGTGACTGATGAAAAGGGAAGAAAACCACAAGATTGAAAACTATCTGGCTAATAGCTTCAGGATTTAGGAGACTAGCTGCACCATCAGTCATATGATGAAAACATCTCAGACTTGCTTAGGGCTGCTGATAGCAGTGAATCTTTCTCCCTCTGATAGGACTTAAGACAGGTCCCGTTGCATCTTGTCAATGCCACTGGAGGTATTTGTCCCATGAGGGAATTATGCCATTGAAGGTCCTTTTGGGTTCAGGAGCATAAGCTGGAGCTCCTGGCATGTTAAGTGCCCTGTCCCTTCCCAGGAGATGGAGAAATGCAGGTGCTGTCCCAAGGCCAGGACAGCCAGGGCAGTGACTGCAGCACTGGTTTATTTTCCCATTGCCCTCCCTTTGCTCACCACTACTCACTCTGCTTTCTTGCGCTTGTGGTAGGAACGTCTCCAAGGGTTTCTCCAGGTTTTCCTTTTTGCTAAAGACAAATCTGGTAGGAAAGCAGCCAGGGACCCTTCAATCTGATCTGGTTTTCCACACAGGGCGTGCTCTGTTGAGCAGTAGTAGGAACATTCCCCATAGAAGCAGATGTTGTTGGCTGGCAAATAAAGGAAAAGAATTATAAAACCTACCCTTAAATTAGTATTTGAGAATTCATAAAAGCACTGATGTATGTAGGAGCAGAAATAAATCCAAAACCCTGTTACCACACATAGTTTTCTTCCACTAAAACCACTAGAAAGATATTCATTTCAGTGGCTGTGATCACGCCCTGTGCTGAGCTTTCTGTGACTATTTCCAGTTTATTTATATATTCCAAAACCATGTTTTTTTAAAAAATCCTTTTCTTTCTCCTTTTTTTCCCCCCAGACTGATACATTCCTTGGGTTCTATCTGTTACCCCAGGCTGGAACCCCAAATCCCACAGCTGAACAAGTGGCACATGCCCAAAATCAAGTAATTTTTCAAAACCTTGGCTCGTTTCTTTAAGAACAGAGAACATTTCATTCATTTACTTGTTGCCTTGTTGGTGTGAGAAGAACTGGCAGTTTTAGTACGGAGAATTATTTACCATGCAGGCTCCCGTGGGGGTGTGTGTAGAAGGTGGAAATAGCACAGATGTAACTCTGTCAGCACACATCCCAAACACAGATGTCTTCCTCCACACCTCACACTACTCCAACAACCACAGAAAAAGAATCTGCAGCAGGTTTTGGAACTCGTGTTACCTTAAAACCTCCCCAAAACCGCCACCACCTATTTCTGTACCAACAGGAACACCCACCTCTTTACAGGAACACCCTGCCCACGGGAATTCACTGAAGGTGAGAGAGAGCAGCTCATCCCCAAAGCCCACCAACGCTGGGCCACGAACAGGAATAGGAGCACACTGCTGCTCTTGTCAGTGTGCTACAACTCTTTTGACATTGCTTTATGCATATAAAATGTCATTAGAGGAAGAGTGTGCCCTTTCCTCATGGTAATACATGAAGCTGAGAAGTCACATTGCGTCCTAATTCCCCACTAGGCCTCTAAATTCAAATATTATTTCTGAGCGCCTCTCCCTTTGAGCAGGATCAGTATAAATGAGGCAGGAAGGGCTGGGAAAAGAGGGAGGTGATTTCCTGCCTGCCACAGAAGACCTGGTGGCTCAGAAGGGTAAGCTGGTGGGTTTTCATCACAGTGATGCCCTGCAGCACGTGGCCCTGCACATCACTGTGACATCCCCTCAGACCAAACCCAACCTACAACCAGTCAAGTGCCCCATGGAGATGGTGCAGTGCTGGTGGGGGAAAGTGAGTCAAGGGGATAGGGAACAATACTGGAGTTAACAGGAGGGAGCGAGGAACACAGCAAGGAGCTGTGTTTGGAGAAGGAGAAGTAGGGGAACATAAGGTCTCACGATGTGTTTGATTGTATTAAACAGCTGCATTATCTGGGACTGGCTGCTAACCATGGAATTACACCAAATAAGTGGACTGTAAGGCTGATGTGTTACTACTTGACAGTTTGTCTCAGCTTTTCATTTCCAAGCCTCTATTGATATCCATCAGATTTGTCCATGAAGTTGTGATAACTTTGCTCTAGAGAAAGCCCTTTCACATCCCTCTGCTGTGACTGATCATAAGGGCCACCCATCCATCCCTGCCCAGAAACAACTAACCCAAACTGTATATTTACATTCGCAGGGTTGGATCATACCAGTTAAACACATCCTGGCAAAGTCCAGAAATATTTACTCTGTGGCCAAAAGCCTTGTTGACAATTACTAAAAGAAAAGTACTTCAGGCAAGAGAAAATGAAGAACAGAAATTACAAAAGGAAGGAAGGGAACAGTCCCTTAATATCTTAATTAAAGGAACAGTAGCTTGAGATTTCCCATGAGCTGAGAAGTGATCATGTCCTTGGCCAATAAGCTGCTCAGCTTGGCTATTTCCTACTAACCCCAGCACAAGTCCTGGTGCTGCTCATTCCATGATATGCCTGTTCACTTCTAAACAGAAATCCCACTAATTTTTCATTTTATGCAGCTCAGTAATATCGTAACTGCAAAAGACAAGTTTTGAAGCCCTTTTTACAAATTGCACGGGAATGGATGAACTGCAGTTAGGGAAACTTGGGTTGGAAGAGACTCTGGAGGCCTCTGGTCCAAGCCACAGCTCCAGGCCAGCTTCTCCAGGTTAAAAAAATCTGCAACCCTCAGCTTCTCCTTGTGCACCAGGTCCACCAGTTCCAGGACTGTCTCAGCAGCCTCCTTCAGATCACTCATCTCATTAGTCTAAAATCAAGTATAAAGTCAAAACCCAGACAAACCCAATCTAAGGCAAGTCCTGGGCACGGTGCCCTGCAGTCTAGAACCTCTCATGGGTTTCCTTTTCAAAAATGGCAGCTGGACTTGGCACAGCTTTTGCAGGGCTAACACAGGTGCCTCATCTTCACCTTTAACCACCCTGGCAAAACCAGGAAGGCTTCGTGTCTCCCTGTGAACCTGTTCCATCACTCAGGATGAAGGTAAAGAGTTGTCCAAGCAGCTGTGGGCAGTACTGCCAGCTGCAAATGGGCCATCAGGAAGATTGGGATATTCTCAGCCAACAAAAACTGGGGGAAAACATCTGTGATTTATATCCTTAAAAGAAATTATTGCAGATAAAATATTTCAAGGGGTTCCAGGCTGCCACAAGGGATGGTTTACAAGAAATCACATGCAGATGCTGCTTGCTGCAGGCTAAAGCAGAAGAGTTAGGGAATACAGAGATCCCTTCTTTCCTGAGCACCAGCTGCCTCAGTGGGAAGGTCAGGTTTTCCCTGTGCTGCAGCCAGGGTTTGTGTTTCTACTGATTTTAAGCAGTGGGGCTTGGGCTTCAATTCAGCTGTCTCAGCATCACCCCCTCATCTGTGGAGGGAGGGAACCACACGGATTTATCTTGACCGCCTGAGACAATTTATGTTCCGGGCTATCTGTGACCTGACTCCCACCTGGCAGCAGGAAGCCAGTGCTCAGTTATCTGACACCATAACAGTTTTGCAAAGAGCAAAAGGCCCAGCAATGCCCCCCACCCTGTGCCATCACAGCCTCTGCTGCTCGCTATGTAAATCTGACCTTTCAAAAAAAGGAATTGTATTAAACACAGCATTTTGCTCAGTGGGAAGATAAATACTGTGTTTAATAGTTTGCTTCTGAATTTAACTTTGGGAACAATGAAACCCTGCTCTGTATTGTCAACGAAAGCAGCTGGGACTAATCATTTGACAGTAATCACACACTGGTATCCAGATAAATCTCGAGGAAGGCTCGGGGGCTGTGGCAGTGATGGTGTTTGCTGCTGCAGAGCGATGCAGGGAGCACGTGTGCTGCCTGCACCATTCCAGCCGCTCATCCTGCTCATCCCTGCCGGGATCCACCAGGTATTGATCTTCCCACAGAGCCCCAATTGCCTGCACCAAGGCATCCAGTCCCCCCAGCAATGGCAAGATGCATCCTGTCATTAAGGCAGTGAACTTGCAGTAAAACCAAAAGTGTATTTCTCACTGAGAACTGAGAAGTTATTTTCAATGGCAAAGCTTTTTCTGCCAGCAGTTATTCTTCCTGTGGGCTCAGACCTACTCTCCACAGCTTCTGTCCATTTTCTGGGGACAATGGAGGTGAAAGGATGCTGTATCTCAAACTACTGCTAATGAAATTAACTGCCTTGATTGATACAAAATAGACATCTTATTATGTCTACCCTAGTTCTTATATACTGGCAGTAAGATGAAGCAGCCTGAATTATCTGTGGAAATATTAATTTTTAAGGTTTCTTAAAAATGTAGGAAAAAAAAAGAGGTACCAAATATAGAAACCCACAATTCTCATTTAAGACTTACAAGGTGCAGCAGCAAGGCTCTTTGAAACCTAAGTAGGTGACCCACATTCTGCACAGCAGGCTGAGGGTGAAATTCCAGCTAGAGACACAAGCCCAGCACTTCATGGCCATCCCATGCTGAGAGTAGGGTTTGGCTTTCCCAAGGCAAAATAAGAGGGAAAGGGGAGATGAGCTCCCTACTGGAGCATGGCCCTTCTCCTCCCATTAAAATTGCCCAAACCTTATGTTCCTCTCACCAGATAAAGATGTTTCTGTATAAGTACACTTGCAAAAGAAGAAACAGCCAGGAGTTTGTGCTCCTGCAGAGTGGGTAGAAATGGCAACAGCAGCAGTGCTGGCAAAGCAGGCAGGGAGGGATGTTTATACTTGCTGAAATGTTCAAATACTGCGAGTTTGCAACATGCAAACTTCTTCTTCATTATAAACCAAAATTGTTTCCCCAAAGCACTAGAAAGGCAAGAGAATCCCATGTTGCAATGTCTGATTTTCATTATCTGAGGAGGAATGGCTACGATTCATAATGAAATGCACGCAAAAATCATGGTCTGGTGATCGAAATTCCAACTAATTACAACAATTAAGAACCAGAGTGTCTGTGTACTCATCTAGACATTTTCTGGGCATCATCCTGATAGCTGAACAATAGTTCTCAGGAAGAAAAGGAATAAGGGAGGATACCTTGGAGCAAATTGCTTGGCAGAGCAATTCTTTCGTTGAGCATTGAGCAATTTCTTTGCATGACTGTTAATAGAGGACATTTAGCAAGCCTGTGCAACTGGAATACTGGAAAGAATCCTGAATATTTACTAAAGCTATGCATGAAAAGATCTTTCTTTTACCTTCTCAAAATAATAGGTAATTCAGAATTGCTATTGTATGCTGAGAGGGGAAAAAGAATCCATAATCCCTTGGAATTGGTTAATATGAACAAAAACATAGTGCTTACTAGCTATGTAACATTGATTTCTTTAAGCTGCTGCCTCAATTACTTCCAAAACGAAGGCTGACATCATTAATATGTCTCTTTCTTCCTAGCAAATTACTATTCATTTGTGAGAGTAGCAGGGCTACTGCAGTCTGCCCTACTGCAAAGGATGTAAAATTAATTTAAATAATTACTGACCTAATTCCATTTTTCATGTTTAAGTCCAAACTGCCTGGAAGTGCACTTTTCTGCAATCTGCTTCCTCTCTGAGTGCAGCCTAATGCATCAACTGACCTGCCTGCTCAGAGCCATCACCACTTTCCAGTGGAAGAAGGGATCCTGCTCGGTGCTGTGCTCTGAAGTACGACTGCCTGCAGCTCCCTGGCCCTGATTTCCATGGCTGATGGGACAAAGGGAGGTGTCCCAGGAGTAGAAATGCAGTGAGGTTTCTACCAACACATCCCTGTGCTGGTCCAGGGAATAACACAGTGCAGTGATGAGCATCATCAATGCCCATCCTCTGAGGGTTCCCACTGCAAACCATGGGCTCCCAGCCCAAGGGGGAGAGTGTTCTATAAAATCAATTTCATTTAGTGCTCGTTTAATTTTAAGAGAGGTTTATGTGTGCATGGAGAGGGATGTATTGCCAGCACGACCATTAATTGTCACTGAGCACCTCTGGGGAGAGAGATGCAGTGACAAAGCCACCTGAAAGGGAGTCCCAGAGGGTCCTCAGTAGGTGCACAGACTGGTTTGTGCAAGTATGATATGTCATACTTCAACTTTTCAGCTTTGTGAGCAGTTCTCCATCAAAACCAACTGCCCTTCATCTGCCAGAGGGGACAAATCAGCCTCTTCCAGTCTTCCCCAGGCTCCCTTTTCCCTCTCCATCCTCACCTTTCCAGACCACAAGTCTCACCCCTGCACCTGCCTCTTCCTTCTCTGCCCTCAATCTGCTGCTTGAGCTGCCTGCTAGGCTTGTGAAGTTGTTTCTAAATGCTTAATTTAGGATCTTTATTATTTTTTCATTAAGCATTAATTAATGTCTGCCTTTTAAGGTCAGTATGAAATACAAGACAAAGGTTGGGCATACATTAATGAGAATCTGACTAATTAAACTGGGGACTTGTAGGGAAGAACTCTGACAAGTAACCAGCATGATTTAAGCAAAGTATATTGATTTAGGAAACGTAAAAGGGAAAGAAAAAATTAATTGCTTAAGCACTTTATTCTCCAGAAAAGCCTGATTCATAGTTAATCAAGTATTTTAATTGAATTTATCTGAGGCCTCTAAATAAATTTGAATAAAGGATTATGCTTGGATCATCCCTTGGATGTCTGGAATTTCATAATGACAAGATAAAGATCTTCATCTGAACTGGCAGCCTTAACTCTGTGTTGCCCTGCTCTGTCTGCTGTAAGCTTCTCAGTACTTGAGAACAGTTTTGTAATTCTCAGAAATCATTGAAGTTCACCCCTAAGCCTTGAAATATAACGTGGGAAGATTAAAAATCAAGCAAACCTACTAATCCGTGTCTTATTTACCAAAATGAGAATAAAATGACTTATGTTTTAAATGAGCCAAAGCACCTTGTGCACGCAGACAGTCACAAGATTTTTTGCCATCATTTTTGTGTGATTATTTGCCTACAAAAAGCCAAGTCAAAAAAAAAGTAGAAAGAGAGAGACAGAGACGGAGGGAAAGCAACTGATGCAAATACAAAAAAATGTCTGCCCATCAGGTTTGGTGAACATGCACTGTCACCATGTACTGTCACCGTGTACTGTCACAGTGTAGTGTCACTACTGTCACCATAACTGTGCCTGTAAAATTGGAGCGCTCATAATATGGGGCAAGAGGAAACCTTCTGTAATTATGTAACGTATTTTACAAGTGAAGTTACTGTAATAAATGTCTGCTCAACTGTGTCCTGCAGAGCTGAACACAACTACGAAGCTAAAAATAACAGCCGTAATAATGACTTTATTGGGGATCTGAAAAGTGTGATAAACATTTTAAGAGCGAAAGCACTGCAACAACAGGGCTCTGGTTTCTCGCTAACGGCAATAAATTGCAGTTACATTGGGAGAAGCTGTAATCAAGTCTTTGGACCCTTTAGGGATCTGGGATAAACAGCTTCTGGCCAATCACACACAGAGCAAGGGAAGAGATCTCTGGAGGTTTCTGCTCCAGATTGCCTCTTACACAAGTCACAGCCCGAGTTCAGCAGCACACATTTGCACACAGCTGAAACAATGTGAGTTAAGCTACTGGAACACAGCACTATGCTTTAAGTTGAATGTTAACCTATATATTCTATATCTAAGAACAAACTTAAGCATTATTTTCATACCTTAACTCAAAGCTCTTATTTCTCCATCTCAACATCTCAGATGCTACAGAGATGCTGATACTTTTTCCCACCCTTCGCCCATTTTTCCCAATTCCGGTTGTACCTTTTGGTGAGCAGGGCACAGTTTTATCCTATGTTTGTAAAGTTCCCACCCTGTGGAGCTCCATCCTTGACTGGGTCCACAAGGTGTTGTGAAAGAGTGAAGAGTAATAGAGTTGTATTGGTTTCTGGGTCAGCCCTCTAAGCAAGAGTGAGGACTGGGGACAACTCAGATCATTTCTAGTTTGCCCTCTGCCCAGCAGAGATTTCAAGCTGGAGGTAGGATATGTCATGTATCTATTTCTTGGTTTTTTTTTCAAACTCCTGTTGTAATAAAACCTAAATGACTGAGAAAATTAGGTTTTGGTCCTCCAGTCAAAACCAGAAATAAATGCATCTGACCAACAGAAGTGACAGATCACACTGCAGTGGGAAAAAAAGTCTAGATAACTAATGGACCAGGTAATAAGGTTTAGGGTAAACTGAGAGCAACAGAAAAAAATTGCTTTAGAAATTGTTCTACATAAAACATTTGTTGAATACATTGCTTTGGCGAACATAAAAGCCTGTCTCTGAGGGTAATTTGTCAAGGGGAAAAGGCAGTCAGTTCAAAACAATACAGTCTTCTTTGTAAGCTATGTCTCCACATTTATTTTTATTCAAAGGTCTAGGAGACAGTTTTATTAGAAATATCTGAGCAATTAAGCAATCTACACATCGTTCCCTTAAGTATCTGTGCGGCGGGATAGAAAGAATACAGTGTTATTTCCAAGACTACCTGGTGAGATGAAAAACGTTCTCCACAGCTTCTTGTCACGAGTAACATCTCGTATTTCCCTTGTCATGTTAACCAGTCTACCTGCAACCGGTGGCACGCGACGGAAATCCAGGATCCTGGAAGAGAAAGAAAAGAGGTAGTTTATGTAAAGGATTAAAATGTAATGATAGTGTTAGGTCTTAGGAAGCTTCATTACACTCTGAAGGCACATTTATCTGTGGTCTTTAAGGAGCAAAAAGCCCATCAACTTTAAACTGGATAATCCTTCATATAATATATTACAAAATATGTCCTGAATGTGATGAGCTCTGACTTGCCTACATAGTATGGAGCAAAATACAGAAGGGTATGGGGGGCATTGTTCCATGATAAAAATGAAGACACATACAATTCCAGAAATAAGAGACAGTGGAAATTTATTTTTTCACTTTGTGCTACTTCATGATTGTTATGACATGCATTTTGCTCACCATTTTTTAAGTGACTTGGGGAATGGGATTTCAGCCTCTTTCTTCCATAAACACCATGTAATTCTTTTTCTGACAGTCTTAGTATGTGTTTGATTTATTTCCTTCTGCTCCTCTCTGTTTTAATACCCTTACACCAACCTAAACAATCTCCCTGAGACTAAAAATTTTCCCACGGGCAAAGGCTGGGAGAAGAGGCTCTTTCTACCCCAAACTCCCCTGCCTTAATAGATCATAAAAAACTCCCTACTAAGCACTGCTATTAGATATAGTAAAAGAGCAAAGGCCCCATACAAAGTCTCCCCATAGGCGGGATTTTTATATCCACTGTCTGCTGTTCAGATTTTCTACACTGGGCAGCAACTGCTTTTCCTGCTTAGTGTGTGGATATTTAACATACCCCCCGTAGGAACTCCACTAATGCTTTTTTTCTACAGCACCATCTGCTTAAAATGGCAATATAAAACACAAAGCAGAAGGGATCAACACCAAGGTCAATAACCATAAAATAGAGAAGATCTTTGAAGGATCTCATCAGGATGGCTCCTAACAGCAAATCTACCCTGTGCCACCCGCTGACAGGTTCCCATACCCCAACCATCATCCCAGAAGGCAGCAATACTACACAACCCCCCAAATAATTTGTTGCCCCAAAGCTTCAAGCTTTCAAAAGGATGTTTCTCAGTACTTCACAGTGTGAGAGACACTTCGGTTCTGACTCAGCCTGTGAAATGCCATTGTTCCTGGCCCTACTGTTAATCATTAATTTTTAATTCCCACCCCTAATCTGGGCAGGCTGAGATGGCTGCAGTCCCTTGCCAGTCTTGGGGTATCCACCATCCTCTGCACTGTCTCTGCCTGGGGGGACATTTTCAGCTGACAGGACCATGAGATGACTACCAATGTCCTCTCCTTCACACTAACTTGTGGCCTAAATGTGCTCCTGATCTGGGACAGTCCCAGCTTTTTGCTGTGAAACCAGAACTCCCTTCCCACCTCAATTACTCCCCTCTGAATGCTCACATCACTCCCCACATCTCACTCAGATCTCCATGCCCTGGAGCTAATTGGGGTGAGCCAGACTCCCTTCACACTTACGTGACATATTCCCCCAGAGATGGGTCCTCTCCATATGTACTTCGAGATCACAGGGGAAATTAATTTCTCAGCTTCTCTTCGATATAACTTCTCCTTCTTTTTGAGAGTTACTTATTGCCAGGCTTCTCATTCCCAGAGCAAGTCGCATTTCCTAATTATTAATCTACCCTTTCATCATCTGCCATTTCATTTATTCATGGCATTTGCCCACCTTTGTTCGACTTTCCACTTTTTAAAAGTAATTCAGTTACAGGGCTGGCCAAGTGCACCGACTTATCACAATATTTCCCCTTTTCTTCTAATGCAAATCCATTCTACTTGCCTGTCCAGATGAAATGCTGCTATTTCTGCATTATGTCTCTCATAGTCTGAGAAATAAAAAAAGTCAGGCGGGGTTTCTTGTTCTCTGGTTTGCCTGCAAAGGAAAACAAGGGAAGTGTTTTAATGAAGGGTTAGCATTTCTAAGGAACAGTGCTCAGTCATCAGCATGCTATTCAGGAGTTCAGAATTGTTTGCTTAATGGAAGACCTCTAAATACCTCATGTGTGCATTATTTGCCATGCAGCCTTCATTTTATCTTCTTTCTTAAACTACTGTAACAAAAAAATGGGAATTCAAGACTTGTGCACACAGTCTGCTGTCACAAAGCTGTTCCACTCAAGATTCTCGCTCTATTTAACAAGATCTGTTTTATCACTCTCAAACATTTCATTGGTGATAGCGGTGAAGACAATGTCATTTCATTAAATTATCATTAATCGTAATTATGAAATTTCCAAAAGTAATAACATTTTTCTTTCATCTTTGGCAGCCATGCAGCTCCTATCTAGAATATGCCTCTCCTTTTCTGTTACTTGGAGTCAAAAGTGACATGTTTTTCTCATTTCAGAAGAAACGGGATCATTGCAGTTTGACGGCCACGACACATGTCGTGTTTCAAAGAACATTAACGAGACTGTGCTTGAGAGAGGGTGCAGAATTTGTTGTTTCTTCAGTTTAAGAAACAATAAAAAGTGTCATTCTGATGGAAATAGAAAGGGTAAAGCTTCCACACTGCACTCCATGGAAAATACAAAGCTCTATGTAAGACAGAAAAAAATCTCTGTCTCAGTTGCAGCAATTTCAGTCCTGATGGGTTTTGGATGGAACACAACTCAGGCAGTTGACCAGTACAATGCCTGGGTCCCACCTCAACCTGCATTATGCCCTGTTTTGAAATCTTCAGTGGGAGATAAGCACAGCAAAAAGCTGTCTGCAGAGCATCTGCAAGGGAGGACAGTTCCCCAGAAGAGGAAAACAAAGCTCTTTTTCATTCCCCACTGCCACAGGTGGCCCAGCTGACAGCTCATGCGTCACTCCTGCTACCTGCTGGCAATTAAAATACAGCTTCTGCATGGGGACCTTGGCACATCAAAGGCTTTGGGGTGGTGCTGGTGCGCAGCTCAAACCTCCAGAGAATTTGCAATAAGCCTTAATTATGGGGTTTGTTGGGAAACCAAAGCTGTGTCCACCCACGACTGTGACTACTAGAGATGGTATCTGCCCACAAACCCTCCTGGGGCTCTCCACACTGCTGGAGAAACCGGGTAAGTCTTGTGGGTTTTGGCTGTATGAAGACTTTGCTATGCACCCAACAGGGTTTGAAAGCCTGATATTCTTTCTCAGACATTCCTTCTTATATTAACGTCATGGCAAGGCACTTGATCTTGCCCTAAATGATGAACAATTGCTATCATAGAGACAACATCAAGATATTGTCCAATGTAAGTCAAGGTCAGAGTGGCCTTGAACACCCCTCTGGCCAAAACAGCATTGACCACTGTGATAGTAGCGGCCACTGAGGCGGCCAACACTTGGCAAAAGTCCTGCTAGGGCACTGCTGTGGCCAAAGGGTTCACGAGGACACAAGCTAAAAGTCAGCCTGGCATAAAATAAAAAGCAGTGTTTTGCTTTGTCTCCATAAAAAATGCAAAAGTGGAAGGAATGAGCACATCCACAAAGAGGAATACAGAAGAGCAGAACCTCTGGCATCCCACATCATGCACCACACAATCAAGGCAAGAGTTAGGAGACCTGCAACCTCACTGTGCATATTCCCCTAAAAAAATAAAGGAACAAGCCCTGAATATAAATTCAAAGAAAAAGATTAACAGATTTCTTCTAGGCATAAAATTACACATTTCTACATAACTTTCCCTCCCCTCCAGATTTTAAAATAGTTGATTTCTTCAATAAGTCAAAGAGAGAAAGATTCAACCCAAGATTTTGCAAACTTTACGCATATCAGCACAGCTGATAAGTTGCAGAAAATATTACTAATTAGCTAATCAATGCCATCTGCTTTTTATCTCCCAAATACTTAAAACATATCACGTCTGTTCCTTTACAAGAAAATCCTGCTCCAGAAAATCAGACTTGAATAAGGGCTAGATCTCAATCTTGCAAGCACAGCCATCCCCCCAGCCCAGCTCCCCTGCAGTCAGCACATCACTGCCAGGATTGTCCGGTCGCTCCAATTCCACTTTTCTCTTTACTCCCTGCCACCCCCGGCAATGGCTGGGGATATTATTCATCTGGGAGTAAGTACAGCTGTCCTGCAGGCTTAGGCTTGTTTGTACATATTTTTCTGCTGTCATAATGTGTTATTAAGTGGTAGCAGACCCTCCTAGGAAATCATGGAATTTATTGTCCTAAAACCTTCAAAACTGGACACCAAATCCACAGTGAAATCTAGACAATGGAAATGCCGGTATGTGAACCCGACAATACACCATGAAACAAATTCCCAAGTTTCTTTGGTGCTTTGCCCTATTTAGCTACAAAAAAACACTCTCCAGCCACTGTCCACATGGTCCCTCTCCATGTCAAACACATACGGTACCCACTTCTCTGTCTCTTGAAAATACTGTGTTACTCAGAACATAGACTGGAAGGAGGATTTATCAACCCCCAAGCTGCTTTACAATCCTTATGTTCCTTTGCAGAGCTCTGCAGAACTAAGACGGAGCAGATCCAAACACCCTGAAATGACCTTGAAAAACCCTTTCTGCTGACTTCCTACAATATTCCATGGACAGAACAGGAATCTTGTACCTTGGATCTGACTTTAGCTAGACAGACTTTTATTCAAACAGACATTTGTTATTAATTTGATGTCTGCAGCAGCACCTAAAGAGGTTCCTTGGTAACTGCCCAGCCAGAGTAAGCTGCCATACCACCAGCAAACACTAATATGTGAGAGGATTGTAGCCCAAGGTAGACAACTGAAGCCACAGGAGCCTAACACAGCTCTGAATCAATGCCATCCATGGAATGAGAATGGCTTTAACAGGGTTAAAGTGCACTTAATCATAATCTATATGTTTTGCTTTATCCAACTGTGTTTGTACATAATTTTATTTTATCCACATTAAAAATTTTCTTTTTATTTGTTTTGGCTTTTTTTTTTGAATGCACAATCTAATCAATAAATTGCCTTGTTGGGTGCTAATTCTTCTAACAATCTATTCTGATATATAAGCATAGAGAGTTGGAAGATCAAACTGCTCTCAGTAACACAAATGAACAGTCAACAAGTCCTATCAGTTACTCCAGATTTAGATCACAGTAGCTGGTCCCCAGTCCCCGAATGACAGCTGGAAAAGGAGCAAGCACTGAGTCCCTGATCAAGTAAAGCATCTTATAAAACAACACTGGAACCAAGCCACCCCACACCGTGTTTTAAATCAGAATTGTGTTTTAAAAGGGGAAAAAACCCAACATCCCTCAAGTTAGTTTGGTTTTTATCACCTGATGGCTATTGAAGGTTATTGTCTAATAAAATGACACACACAGCGAGATATTTGAGCAAACAGACCAATATGCTGAGCCCTCTGCAGCAGTGCACACTTCCGAGGGACAATAAGTTACAGAGCCAGCAGTGACACCTCACACCGAGCAGGGACAGGTTCTGCACAGGTTGCAGACAGTGGGAGAGGATTTCTGGCAGTGGCTCTTATTTTGCAAACAGTTGGAATCTGGTGATCCTCTCTTTGGAGAAGGATTTGGCAGATATTTATAACGGCAGGCTGGGAAGCTGTGGAGGAGAGACAGATGGAGGTCTGTTGATAGTGCACACAGTTAAAAATTACACAGTGGCACCAGCCCAATTACAGCATGAGGAAAAGACAAATCAGCACGGTAACATGTGTAGAGGAGAAGTAAGAACTAAGGGGAAATCAAAGCCCATGGAGATTTCCCCACCATGACACAACTTACAGAAGACACAGGAAGCAAAGAATGATTTTAAACAGGACAGGGACACATTTGTGTTGACACAAGACAAGATGCAACTGTGATCTGATCTGGTGGCTAGAAAAGCGAATCATGCCTACAAACAGAAGAAATAAAGCTGCTCTGATAAGTGAACAGTCATGAATAAATCTGGTGAGTCAGCTTGATTCTAGTTATGGTTGGGACCTGGTTTGGTGTTCAATAGTATTTGGATAAATCAACATAGTGATTTGCATGCAGAAATACTTGCAAAGTCTCAATCTTCTCTTAAATGTTTCTGTAAACACTTTTTTTGCCAATTACTTGATCCCCTAAAACCAACATTAATAATTTCTTGTGGCTTTTCTTTTTGCTGTTCATGAACCCCATCACCACAGGACAACTGCAGACTGCAGACTCTCTGGCATTTCATAAAATGACATTATAGAAACTAAACCTTTAACATGGAAATCTATATTTAGTTTCCATGACCACTAGCATACACCTGCCTAAACTAGGATTAATACCCACCAGGGCCATGTATCACTCGAAAGAATCCTGCTCAGTGCCAGACTTCCTCTGCTCTAGGGGGGTTCTATTATCTGTACAGTAGCCAAAAAGCTAGAAAATAGGGCAAACAGCCCAATCTGAGCTAAGTGTTATCCTGACAGACACGTGCTGTCTTCCTGTGCTGCAGTCCAGAGACATTTCAGAGACACCTTTTGTGTCAGACCCTCGTACCTTAACTAATGAGAGGATGTGCTGCTGATTTGAAAACAGCTCCTTTAAAATAGGTTGCACTCCTGTTCTGACACATAATCAGGGGAATCAACCGCCGGGATTAGGCATGATTAGGGATCACAACAACGAGCTTTGCTGCAGCAGGGAGTAGGTTTGCTTGGGTCAGGCCATTTTGCAGACAGAGCCCCTGCCCCTCTCCAGCCAGGGGAATTCGGCAGCAGCAAAATCACTATGAGATATAAGCCAATGAGGCTTTGTAATTGCATTGGCAGGGACACGACTGACACTGATAAGAGCATAACTTGGCTATCGTAACAGATAACAGGAGATTAACTGGGTCTACCCACAGCTATAGGTTGCTATTCTTCTCCTTTGGAAAGCAGCTTTCCTCTCTTCCTGTGGAGTATTTAAGGTGTTTAAAAT